CTTTTAAAGTAATTGCCCTCGGATTTGAAGAAACTAGGAAGGGAAGGGGAAGAAGGGGGAAGGAAGGGAAGGAAGAAGGAAGAAGGGAAAGGGAAGGAAGAAGCAACAGCTGTGTAGCTAGAAACAACAGACGTGGGGCAATAAAAATAACGCCCATTCAGCGTGTGTGGCCCGCCTCTAATTTTTACTTTTTTTCTTAAAAAGTAGGGAGGGGGAAGAATCATTTTAAAGCTATTAAAGGGTAAAAGGGAAAATCTGTTTAATTATTTTTTCCTCAAGAAAATTATTCCTCCCTTATTTAAAAATCAAGGACTAAGTGTCAGTGGATATTTGAAAATTAAGTAGTTTTATGAGGAGGACACATGGAATGTTGTTTAACGATATATTACTGTGTTTAATAGCAAAATTTTTTAATTTTATTATTGCTTGGATTTCATGAGTACAGTAGATAATATTTAATTATATCTTAATTTGAGCAATGAGTTTGAGACTGGATAAAATTTGAATAGTTTAAGGACGATTAAGCAATGAAAAAAAAAAGAAAAAAGTCAAAAATAATAGGAAATTGAGGATTAAATAGATTAATGTTTTTAAGATAAAGCATTTTAACAGATCAGCAATGCATATTATCACGGGATATGCAAGTCATATTTACATCCCGAATCCTAAACTGTCTTTATACTGCCGAATATCGTTCCTGGGAAATCTTCGAATATCTGGAGCCGATATCCAAACCGAACTTCCCGGATCTTGTCGTTTTTCGGATACCTTCGCGTTACAATTTTCAACCCCAATGGAGTACACTATAACGAGTTATCTACAGTTATATCCTTTTCCGAACATACCAGTCCTCGAAGCAGACTAGCACACGGATACTGGTTTTGGTATCCGTATCCGCATAATTACGGCGGATACAGGTGGATACAGACGGATATCCGCTGGGATTTTTATAATATCTGTATCCATATCCGTATCCATGTGCTAGTCTGCCTCGAAGTAATTTAAAGCCTAACAATACATTCAAATATATAAACAAAAAAGGTTCAAGTTGCGCGTCCCTTCCCCTTAAACCATCCTACACTTGTCCTCATAAATCAGCCAAATCTCTCTCCCTCTCTCTATTTTTCTAGAAAAGTGTGACGAAAAGATAAAATCAAACAAAAGTGTGAATAATTATATTTATTTAGATTTGTATATTTTAAACAAACGATAGAAAGATAGCCTTGTTGCATTGCGCGTTTGCTCTCCACCACCCCCCCCCCCCCCCAGTAAATAATTTTGAATTAAACCATTTATAAATGCAACATTTAATATTACTGTCAAATCTAGTTATAATATACTCCCTTTAATGTATACAACAGGAATGGGACAGGTTACCAGAAACCTACTGAATTTTTGATTTTAATTTTGAAAAACCGACTCGAAAGCTGGCCCAACTTTTTTCACAACCCGTCCTATCCTTAATTTACACCTCTGTTTAGTGTACACTCCTTTAAGTAAGATTTGGCTAATGGTTGGTGAGAGATGCTTGATTACCAATCTCCCTTTAGTCTATGATTTTTTTAGCCCAACTCCACTTTATTTTATTAACTTTATTTTATCATATTATCGAAAGGATCTCAACTTCCAAGAAAAAAGAAGCATTAAAATGTCGATTTTTAAATATAAATCTCGAAACTAGATCAACTCACAAGCCCAGTAGTTTCTTGTTAAAATACTGACTAGTAGAGACTTCCAAGACTTGGTCTTGAGTCGTGACTCAGACTTTTCTTGGGGGTTTTCGGTCTTGGTATTTGTCCTGAGTCTTGGAAAATTCTCGGTCTTGGATGTCTACTGAGACTTCCAACTGAGACTTCCAAGAAGCTTTTTTCTATTTTCTGAGTGAGTGAAAGAATCTTTCCCTTGTCCCTATTTTTCCTAAACAATTTTTCCTCATTATTTTAGATCTTTTTATTTACTCAACTATCATTTTATTTAAATAATTGCTAAAAAAGACCCTAAAAATATTTACTTAGGAATTTTTAAATCGTCGGCACTTCTTCCATTTTTATCCAAAAAGATTTTTGCCTTTCTACGCTTCTCGGTTTTCATTGCGCACTCATTTTTCTAAAATTTTTTGGCGCCATTTTTGGTATTATTCAACTATTTAATCCCTTCTTTTTTCAATCATTTTGTACCGCTTTTTCTCTTTTATTTACTTTTGTTTGTGATTAACTTGCGTTTAAAAAATTTTTTTGTAGGGAGAAAATTTTTTAATATGAGGACGGCATAAATAAATAAATATTTTTTGGAAAAAACTTTGAGGATAGATTAAAAAATCCCAAAAAATTAAAGTTTGGGTCATTTTCTCGAAACGTATTTTTTTAAAACCCTCCGCTATTCATTTAGTAGTCAAAAATTTTTTTTCAGTAGGCCTACGCCTTGCGACCAGGGTTGGACGCAATTGAAAAAAGAAAAAATACGCAAGTTCACGATATCTGCAATACGCAGCTGTAACTGCTTCCAGCCCTGCTGGCGATATATGAGAGCTGTTTTATCATAGTCCGTGAATCACGCTTTAAGTAGAGGCAATTAAGTGTTTCCAACTTAAAAATCTTTAGGCAGAAGGAATTCGCGTTTATCTATCCACGTTTCCTATAAATGGTTAAAATGTCTTAAATACAGTAGAACTTCGATATAGTGACCCCTCGATTTAACAAACCCCTCGAAATGATAAACTTGATTAGCCAGTGATCAAGATTCAGCTCTTAATTTACCCTTTTCCCGGTCTTTTCGAGTTCATTATATAGTAAAGCAGCTATATATCTCCTTTAGCTAGTGCAAAAGGTTTTTCGGCGGCTGGGAGCGAACGAGCATCTTCAGTAGACCGGACTGGTGTGTTAGCTAGCCATTACACCACGCCGCCTACTTCACAGCCTTAAAAATTAAATAGCTAAAATATGCTTTACAATATCGAATCTCAACTGTACTTATTTTAAAATTAAAAATTTTAAATGTTTTTCCACTAAACTTTAAACTCGAAAATGACTCCCTTTTATTCTCCTTTATTCTCCTAAATTTTATTTTTAATGCGCAAACACTCTCTTCTAATCCTCCCCATATTTTGCCGTAATAAAGACCTTGTACTTTCATTAAAAAATTCTTTTTATATTCCTCTAAACTCCTTGTAATCCATAAAATGATTCATTTATTTTTTTCTATTTTTTGCCGCTTTTTTTATTATTTTTCAATTGCGGGGATTGCCGTAAAAGTTTTTTTTTCTTGAAAATAAAAATATTTTCCTCTTTTTGATTCATTTAATGACTAAAGACATTTATCCACTCATCATCCTTGAATAAAAAATAGTGGCAAAGTTTAATAAAAAGCGGTATATAAATATAAAAAGTAATATTCCCGCATTAAAACTAAACAAAAAATAGAGTCATTAAAAAGGTTTGGATATTAAAAAATAATTTTTTTGAGAATAATGGAAGAAAAATGGGAAAAATATGTGTTTGTGGTTATTTAAAAATAAATTTAATAAAATTAAAAATCAAAGAAAATATGCAGACTACCATCGGAAGGGGCCCAATCTGAGGACAAATTTGAACTAAATCTGGACTTTTAGGCCTTCCGAAATTCTCAAAATTTTTGCCTGCTGGACACTGAAAATGAAGGAAAAATGAAAGTCTTTGGGAATTATCTCTTGCACCCGCTCCTGATCAGCAGATCGACTCGGAGTGCTTTAACTCGTTCCAAACCCTTTCAAAAAAGTTTAAAGACTTCAATCCCGCGGAGATCAACTTCTCACAAGTGATCAGACCAAGACGAGATCTCATCGAAAAATCATGGTTATCGAGATTGTGATTTTTCAAGATACGATCTCCAATTCTCGTAATCACCCAGACCGGTCTTTACTTTTCAGTGAGCGGAATTTTGAGGAAATAGTTCGTGGACTTAAGGAAATAAACTCAATCTGATATCAAGGTTGAACTAAATTCCTAAATATTTTTTAATTTTAAAAAAGACGGACAATTGTGGACAAAGATTTTTTGCGGACAATATTTGCGGACTATTTTTTGCGGACAAAATATTTAACTTTCCTCATATCTTCTAAATCTCCACATTCCTTATTTTACCTAAAAACTTTAAATTTCTATTGTTCTATTCATAATATTTGAATTATTAGATTAATGTTTGTTGCCTTTAGCAATTTTAAAGGAGAGACATGTACGGTAATAAATAAACGAGTAAATTAATGTATTTAGAGAGAGGGCTCTCTCTCCCTCAAACAAAAATACAGATTGACCTGTCAGATAATTCTTCACATACTAAAACATGTTTAAAGCCAAATTTTTTGTGTGTGTTGATGGGTTGAGGGCCGAGAGAGGGGGTCTATAAAAATAACAATAGGATGAACAGTAAAGGGAGAAAAAAATATTTTTGGAGGGGGGGGGGAAGGGAGAGGGGAGGGAGGGGGAGGGGAGGGGGCATTAATGAACAACAATAAACGAAGAAAAATGAAAATATTTGAAGAAAAGAGGAAAAGATTTTTTAAATAAAATAATAGGAATTTTGGAAAAAAAAATTTTTTCTAAAGGCTTATTTGTAAAAAATATTTTCAAGTTATGTAATAGAGTTTGAATGGAAATTTTGAATGAATTTTGAATGAAAACAAATATTTGTATAAATATTATTTAATTAGTAAATAGTCCTATTACCTTTTAATTATCTTCTAAAGGCTTAATAATAAATTTGAATTAGTTAATCAGTTAGTTTGGAAAGTAGAGATTGTACAAGACGAGATCTCGAACAAACATTAATCACCTTTAAACACCCACAAAGTCAAAGGAGCGTACCAACTAAGTTTTCCTTATAAGAATAGATGTCATGATAATCATAATATTTAATCATTCTATCAACATAGTCATGATCAAAATATTAACAAATTTACTACATATAAGGATTTAGTAAAGATAGTTAACCAACTCCAAAATTTCCTCATAAAATAAAATAGGATTTATAATTTATTTGTGATTTGCAAACTTGATAACAAAATGGATAACAAACATAAAATTAAAAATCTAATGTGTTTTAATCAGCAATTTTTAAACACCCAAAAAATCTCTCTTCCCTCTCTTAAGGATCACAAGATCCATCCTTCCACCCATCAAGCCATCTTTCCATTATTTTGTTACAATCAAACAAATTCTTCCCCAATTTTAAGTTTACTCTATTGTGTGCTTCACACATCCACTGAGAAAATAATTTTTTATTTGTTAAAATTGGAGGGTTCTTTTTTAAATCTTCACGAAAGTCAGCAGCACAATGTTCACAGGGATAGGTCTTTAAACGAAAAAAATTTCTTCAAATTTTTAAAAAATTTTTTTCACCCTAGAAAGGCTCGTAAGAAAATCTTTTGTGTTTTGTTTCTCTTTTTCTGTTGGATCATCCGGGTAATAAACAGACATTGTATGTAATAAATTCCATGTTGATCTGAAACATTTTTTAGACATTAGTATTTTAAAGGCTTGGGATTCTTTAGAAAAATTTTCTGAAATTTTAACCTTGATCGAAACACTAGTAAATTTAAAAATATAATAGTAATGGAAAGAGTCCCCTCATTTTTGAGAATTTTTTGTAGGCCGATTCTAGATTGTTTTTTCTAGCTTGATCTGAAGCCGGCTCTCTTTGGTATTCAAAAAATACTGTTTTCCAAAATATATATTTTTTTAATTTTATTAATCTTGGTGAAGGAATAGTTTTTGTGAAACATTTTTAAAATCATGTATCGGTGAAAAAGATAAAAATATAATGATCAGAAAAATATAATCAGTATCGGTATATATCAGTACACCTTCAGCAGTACACCTAATCAGTACACCTTCAGCGCTAATAAAATTTCAAAAAAAAATTTTTTCTAAAAATAATCTATTTTTCACCTTCCTAATTGGTCCTTATCCAACGGGCAATCCTCTCTTCTATGTTTTATCGTTTGTTGTTGTTTTCTTCTACTACTCCAATTTGTTCTTGTTTCTTCTTTATCTGTTGAATCCTTTGTTAATTTTTCTTTTGTTTTGCTTGTAAATTTGAGCATATCTTCCCAACTAAAACAAGCTTTACAAGGACGGCCAGTATTTTCCCGAACAGAATCATCCATTTTTCTTTGAGCTGGTCTTCAGTTATTTTTTTTTAATTTTCTAATAATTAAAGGCGGCCATATAAGGGTAACTGGTAAAAAAAAATTTTTTTAAATTTTTTTAATCTAATTTTAAAAAAAAATAATTTTTAAGTCTTTCTTTACTTTAAAAAATAATACATAATTTAAAGGATATTAAGCTCTAAATATATTTAATTCAAAAAAAACTAACAAAAATTGTTTTGGGCAAATAAAACTAACAACAAAAAAACAAGTATTGGGCTAAATAGATAAATTTTAAAAAAAGGTTAAATACCTAACTGACCAATAAAAAAATTTTTTTATTTAATTAATCCTTACTAGGAATTTTAATTTTGAGAGAAATTTTGGAGTTTTCCAAAAAAAATTTTTTTAAGCTGGTAACAAACGAGTGTCCACAAACGTGTCTCCCCAACAAATGCCTCCCAACAACAAATAACAACAAATGTCTCCCCTAAACCTTAAAAGTCTCCCTAGCTATCAGGAATCTTCTAGAGGATATAAAAAATAAATTGTCAATTTTAGGGAATCGGAACGGATTTTTTTCATTTTTAATTCCATTTCCCTTCTAGCCATCCACCGAGGAAACGGAAAAAAAAATTTTTTGTTTGGTCAGTCATTTAAAATTGAGAAAATTCAAAAAAGTATTTTTAAAAAATATATAATTGAAGTTTTTTCTATTCAAAAAATGAAATCTTTTTTAATTATGCTAATTTTCTCTAAACTTTAACCTTCCAAAAAAAAGCATTTACTTCTCCGTATTTTTAAAATCATTTTCAATTCCATTTTCATCAATTTCTCTCGATTTTGAACGATTTGTAGGTGAAGGCATTCTCAATATATCTTGAATATGTTGAACTATTAATTCTATAGCCACATTATTTTCTGCTCCACGAGGAATTATTACATCAGCATATTTTTTGGTTGGAAGACAAAAATCTTCAAAAGCCTTGAAAAAGAGAAAATTGTGAAAAGAAATTTTAATTATTGGGCCAAAAATAAGCAAAAAAATCAGCAAAATTTTAAAAAATTAGTCTAAAAATTGGGCAATTTTTTAGCCCATGTCAGAAAGATTAAAGAAATAAATTTTTTTAAATTTATATCATAATTCGTTTTTTATTTAAATTATCAAATCTAAAATTTTTTGGAGAGATTTGGCACAAAATCGAGCCAAATCGTAAAAATAGAGATATCCTAAACCAGAAATTTCCCAAGAATCAAAACCAAAACTTTCAAAAGCTTAAGAAAATTAAAAAGAAAATTTAAATTTTCTTTAGCACCGAAAGGCTCTTAAAACCCCTGAGAAAGTTTTGAGTCCGAAATCCGAATTATAGACATCTCAAATACAAAGCCCATTGTGCACGTATATTTATAACGAAAAAATTTAAACGAAAAATAAAAAAATACCGGTTTGACTAAAGTAAGGTATTGATGAAGTATAGAATTAAGTGGACGTCCCCATTCTGTCGTATCACGTTCAACTTTTGAGAAAATCCGTTAGATTTTAAATTTTGAAATTAAAAAAAACCTCTTCTAGCCAATCTAATGTCTGGATCGGTATCAACAAATCTTTAAAAAAATTTTAATGAAAATAAGAAAAAATAAACAAACAATTTGAGATCAAACATGCTTCTTAGTTCCTGAAGAAAATTTTTTTAAAAATTTTATAAACAAGAAAAAACCTGATCAAAAAAGATTAAAATTCCTTCAACAAGAATGACATCAGCTGCGTCTAGATCTCGCCATCCAATTCTAAATATAAATAATTTATTTTGATAATTATTAGGGCTATGAAAAAAATAATTTTTTCTAATGAAATTGAAAGTTCGGACATGAATTATAGGTTAAAAAACATTCAAAGAAGGATGGTGACTTTTAGTTATTGCCATAATCATTGTTAAGAAATTTAAAATTTGCTCAAACTACGCACAGCCCAGATTTTCCCTATTACTCATCAACAGTGCGATTAATTGTAAAAATTTTAGGTAATTGTTGGTTAACCAAAACCGGTTCTTGTGGACATATTAATGTATGAAATAGTCAAAGGTTGGGGATAAACAATTAATAGCAACCTTCCAAGTACGGAGCTTCCGAACGTGGGTCATAATTATTCAATAATAATCGGATACTCCGATGTCACGAAGGAATTTATGAATTATTAACCATCCATTATCAGTCTAAAAAAATTAATTCAACCTTGAATGAGTTTTAAAATCGTATAGTGGTATTTGAGCAGGTTTGTATTGCTTCAAGTTCTTCAAAGTTTGAAGCATTGATGAATGTTCAAAAGCATCGGGATGGTCAAAATTAAAATCTCCTCTTAAAGCTCGTAAAAATTCGTCATGATTTACAAGATCGCGGTAGAAGCAGTCCTAAAACGAAACGAAAATTATTGAAAATTTTATTCAAAAAATAAACCTGTGAAATTGCAACAACCCTCTTCTGCCCTCCATTCAAGGCCAATCTATCAATAATTCTAGAACAAACAGTTGACTAAAAAAGGGGAAGAATAAGACATTTTTAAAAAACAAGATTGACCAAACCTTTCCTGAAGCCGTCCCCCCTGCTACACCAATAATAAACGGACATCTCATTGCTTAAACCAAAGAATTTCTAAAGAAAAAACGCCAACAAATTTAAATAAATCAAGGAGAATAATTGCAAAAAAGCCTCACATAAAAATACACAAAACAACAAAAATTAACAATTTATCTCATTTTCCTCACTGAAAATTAACAAAAAACGACAATTTAATCCCTTAATTAACATCATTTTTAAGCTTCAGTCGGCATGCTTCGAATAATGTCAGAATCTCCCGGATCGGTAATGGAAAGCATTGAAACGCGGAACAATTTTCCACAAGCGGTTCCCAACTCAATGTTGTTGCCATGATACTCGTGAACACCTTGAAAATAAAATACCGTAAATGTTTCGAAAGACACGCTGAGCATTTATATTTCAATGGATCTCATTGAGTCGACTTCTAAAAGGGCCTGAATACACAATGAAGCCGGGCTTTTGTGAAAACACTAAAAATTATAGTTGCCAACTCGCTCGAACCGAAACTCGAAAGATCGAGCGAGCCGAGGATTCTCAGCCCGAAAACAAACCGCATCAAAAAAAACCAAGCTCAAAAAAATGCACTGAACGTCGGCTCGAACCGAAAACGGCAACCCTACTAAAAATCAATTAAAAATACCAGTTCTCGCCAACATAGAATAGTACTCAATCTCACTGCGTCTAAAATAAAAAATTTAAATTCATCAGAAAATACCAAAAGAAACCTAAGGCTTGGAGTATTATTCGAAATAATAACAAGTTTAGCCTTTCCAGAACGAAGAGTCTTCAATGTTTGCTTGTAGCCCAAACAATACTTGCCAGATTTGGTGACCATAGCGAGACGAGCATTGATATTTTCTGTGGACTTTTTCTAAAAATTGAGAGATCAATAACGATTAAATTTGAAAGAAATGAACCTGTTTTCCAACAACCATTGTAACGCAAAATACTATCTCTTGTTTAACAAATCTGAAATACAATAAAAATAATGTCAAATAGAGGTCGACACGGGACAAAATCCCGTACGGGATTTTACGGGATCCTGTCCCGAAATCCCGTTATTTTAAGCGACGAACGGAATTATCGAGTTTTACTGACGGAATTTACTGATGTCAAGACAAAAATCTACTAAAAACAAAAAGGAAAAATGAACAAAAGTTTAGAAAAAAAGAGAATGATAAAATGTTGCCTTTTTTAATTTAGCAATTTGAAAGTTACCATTTTGAAAATTTAATGCAAAACGCCACAAATTTTAAGAAATAAACTTAAATTTTGCTTAGAATTTCGTTTTTTTTATTTTTTTGCCTAAAAAATTTAATTTTTAAGGTTCGTTATTCAAATTTTATCTAACAACAATGACCGCTTCATTATTTCAAATTCGAAATAGGCCAGATCTGACGGTAATCTTTCTCTTTGATTTCAATTTTGATTTCAATCAATTTCACATTTCAGCTTGACAAATGCAAAGAACAAATTGAATTGGCCAAAAATGAAAACAAAACATTTCTTCGTCAGGCATTTCAAGCTCATCTTGTTAATTTACTCAATCGAGAGAAGAATTTTAGTCAATCAGTTCTTTTAGGTTTTTTTCTAATTATTTTAATGTAAATTTTTTAGCTTCCGAACTGGTCAAAGAACTTAAAAAAATTGATGACAAGGAATTGTTGGTTGATGTTTTGTTGGAAGAGAGCATTGTATTCTTTTAAATTATTTGTAAAGCATATAGCTATTAATTTCCTGAGGCTGAGCAGTAGGCGGCGTGGTGTAATCGCTAACACATCAGTCCGGCCTACTGAAGATGCTGGTTCGCTCCCAGCCGCCGAATAAACTTTTGCACTAGCTAAAGGAGATAAATAGCTATTGCCCAGCTGCTTTACTTATTTAATTTTTCTAATTTTATTTTTAGGCTTTTTATCATCTTTCAAACCTCACAAAAGCTCGTGCCTCTCTGACTAATGCACGTACCATTGCCAATTCAAAATATACTCCTCCTGCTATGCAAGTAAGTTTGCTTTGTTTTCTCAATTAAAAAATTTTCTAACAGGCAAAACTCGACCTTCAGTCAGGCATTTTACACGCAGCCGAGGATCACGATTTCAAGACGGCTTTTTCTTATTTCTACGAGGCTTTCGAGGCGTTTGATTCTGTGAATGACAGCAAAATGGCACAGAATGCACTTAAGTATATGCTTCTTAGTAAGGTTAGATGAAATTTATTTTTGGTTTTATGGTCTTTTTTGGGGTCTGTTAGGCTTGGGTGGATACCAAAAATGTGTCGGATTATTTTAAACCCGGACTTTTTTGACCTGAAAACTAATTTGAAGGAAATTACGGGCCTCACGGGTTTAAGATAATTTGACCTTGTCAGTCAGAAATTCGACCCGACTTTTTTCTCAATCTGACCCTTCCCTGATAGATTGGAATTAAACCACAATTTCTATTAAATTTAACTACCAACCAAGGGAGGTGAAGATAATTTGGATTGATGAGGCATTTTTTCAGAATTTAACGCAATAAATCCAAGCTACTCATTCAGAATCCATAATTAAAATTTTTCTCGTTAAAATTTTTAGATTATGACAGATAATGCTGATGAAGTGAACAGTATTTTGGTTGGTAAAACTATTTCAAAATATTCCGGTCCCGAAACTGATGCAATGAAGGCACTTGCCAATGCTGCAAAAAAGCGTTCTTTGAAGGAATTTAATGAGGTTTTTATATCTTTTATTCACTCTATTCTCCCCTCTACTTTTTTAGACTTTTTCCAAATACGGAGATCAATTAATGGAAGATCCTGTTGTCCAAAAACATTTTTCTTCAATTTCTGATACAATGTTTGAAAAGGAACTTTCTCGTTTAATCCAGCCTTATTCTTGTGTTCAAATTGAGCATATTTCTAAATGTGTTGGTTTGAATCGTGATTTGGTTGAAAAGAAATTGAGTCAAATGATTTTGGATAAAAAATTTTATGGTAAGAAGATTTTAAGTCTGATTGACACAACTAGTTATTAGCCGGTCCTAGTTTTCGGTTAATGCTAATCTAAAGAACTTGGTTTTGAGGTTTACAAGAAAAGATTGCGAGGTGTTTGACCTAAAAACGGGCGAGACCGGGCTCATTAGACAAGAATTTGCCCTTTCTACCAAGGATTTTGTGCCGTTTTTGCCCGTTTTCTGATCTGGCCAAGATATGACCCTCCAAAGTCTTAATCTTTGGTATAATTTTCCCCCTCCAAATGTAAACTTTAAATAATGCGTAAATTTTGTTGGTGTAGTGGTGAGTGTATGGTTTATTGTTTGTTGTTTTTTCCCTAGTTTGTTGTTTTTTAAGGAAAAATATATTTTTATAAAATTTTAGGTTGTCTTCAAGGTGATGGATTGCTTGTTATTTTTGATAAGGAAATTGTGGACCCTTCTTTTGAGTTGGCAGTGGAGGCGATTCATGCGATTGGAGAAGTAAATTTTTTAAATTATTTTTTAAAGTGAATTGTAAAATTTAAGGTGGTAGACTCTCTTGGGGACAGAGCAAAGAAAGTAAAATAAATTTTTTTGATACAAATTTTTTGGGGGCCGTTTTTTTGTTCTTTTTCCAGCAAATGTTTTTTAAATGTAAACAGGTTTTTGTGGTATAATAAAACAAATTTAAAAAATTTAATTTTTATCTTGATTCAAGTCCATCATTAACTCTAAACTATTCACAAAAATTAATTTTTCGAGAAATTATTTCACAATATCACATCCTCATAAATATTCACATTATCTCGTTATACTTGCCGGATTTGCTAAAAAATCATTTTAAAAATTTCTAGAATTTTTTAAAAGCTTCAAACCTTTCCTCTTTTTCAATTTTTGTTTCAATCATTTTCTTCTCAAGGTTCAATTCCTTATCCATGTTTTCCTTCTCACACGATTTTTTCGAAACTTTAAGTGGTAGGCACTTTAGGCATTTAAGAGTACACCCACAAAGAGGAGAGAATTGAATACTAAACAGGAAAAATTGAAATTTTTTTTTGAAATTTCAAAAAAATTCCTTGAAAAAAATATCAAAAAAATTCCACAAACATTTTTCCTTTTGAACTCTCCGTAGTTTTATCTGTTTCTTTTCGATTGTGTAGACAACGACAAATTATTGGCATTTTTTAAAAAATTAATCTAGATAATAATTTAAATTTTAAAAAGTCAACTGAAAAAAGTGTTTTCGAAATTGTCTTTTTGTCTAAAAAATTATTTTTATATTTTGGACTAGATAATATTCCTAGTGTAAAATTTTGTCCTGTGTTAGGTTTTTACAGAATTTCTAATTCTGTTCCTCAAGAAAACACCAAAAAATATAGATTAAAAAAATATTCTTGAGTTATCACTTGATAAACAAAAAGCGACGTTTTTTATGAAACGACCTAGTTAATAATTGTAAGGCCGGGAAGGTCTTATGATAGAAAATAAAATATTCAAGCGTGGCTAGTTTTTTTTGAATAATTTGAATTTAAATTATAAGTAGTTTGAAAGACTGAACGTTAATTTAATTAAAAGAAAATTTTTTTAATGTTAAAAAATTTTTTGGACTCCTAAAAAGATTTTTTAGCTCCTTAAATAAAGCTGCGCATATTAAATCCAGAATATGCTGGAATAAATGACGAATTATAGTATAGATTTATTTTTGGTAAATCATTTGAGAGGATATTGCAGCGGCTGAACGAATTTTTTTTTGCTTACAATTAGAATATTTTTCATATTAAACTGGTTCATTTGCGCAAATCCCTTCTTATTTTTAGATATTAGTCAGCAAGTTTTTTTAATTGTGGAGGAAAGAAAAATTAATAAAATTTATTTAATAAGAAAATATTTTTTACATGAGGTTATGTTAATTTTTAAAAATCACGTATTAAACTTTCTTCCCATTTTTGGTGTCAATGTATATTTTGGAGGAGCTTCCCAACTTTCTGGAGGAGGCATATAATCCGATTTTTTCAAGTAAACATCTGGTACTGGGGCTATAAAAAATTTTTTTAGAAACCTGGTAATTTCGACTCTTTATAACTCCATGTAGATATACTACCTCCAATGTACTAACTCCCACGTTATTCCCAAAGGTTTTCCCCCCAAAAATTCCTTGGAAATAATTTCACCAGCTATGGGCCGAGTTAACCTATCCCCGTAATTTTTGACTCGAAATCCGAGACCCTGTCCAAAGAAAAATTTGAAAGCTAGACCAGACTTATTTCAAACAGCCCATGCTTTATACCTACGCCTGTCACCCTTGCGTTGGGGTGATAATGAGAGTCAACAGTATTTAATCTAGAGAATTAGACCAAGATATCAAAAATTCCCACCCGTATCTTATTCAGAAACTCATTTTCTAAGCTTAAATTTAAACTCACTTCGCATCCCTTTAAGTAAATGAACTGTGGTCTTGCCATTCTTTTCGTTCTCCCAGGCAATCATTTGCCTCCAAAATGCTAAATTTGGGGCGATGATAGGTCTTGCACTTTAATAAAATAAAAAATATTTTATCCTAAAAATTTATTTACCTAACAACAGTATAATAAGCTTCTCGTAGTGTTAATCCCTCATTTATTACTAAAGTCATAATTGTTAATGTGGCAGCTCTACTGATACCAGCAGCACAATAAATAACCGTTTTTCCTCCCTATTTGGAAAATTAGAATTTTAAATTAATTTTTGAGTTTAAGCTTAAAGGAAAGGGAATGATCTATGTTTAATAACTCCCTATAACAACGTTTAACTCTCTATAAATATAAGAGACCCAAGAATAAAGTCTATAATATTGAAGTTTTGCAATTTAAATCGGACCATAGGTGGACGTTTCTCTTATTGACTCGTCGAGATCCTAGCCTTGAATATCGGCTGATCCTCTAGTCTGATCTTTATCTTGTAAGATCAGTGTGACTATCTATTAGTGAAGAGGTAGGGAAATAGGAAAAATGAGCCAGAAAATTTTCTAAAAATTTTGTAACTTCACCAAACTTTTTGTTTAGCTCCTCTAACAAAATCGGCAACCCCTTGAAAATATTTGGTGACATCAACATTTAGCGAATCATCAATTGGCACATAAAGGTAGTCAATCCCTTGGAAGCGTTTTGTATTTGGTATGTTTGTGGCATCTACACAGTGAGTTATTCCTAATTGGTGAAGTTTAGATTCTTCCAATGACTGAAACGAAAGTTTCAATTTCAACAAAAAGAAAGAAATTTTGGCTCTATTACACAATATACGTCCAATCAACTCTTATACGTCCAATTAACTTTTATACGTCCAATCAAAGTTTATACGTCCAATGAAAATTTATGCGTCCAATTAAAATTTTATGCGTCCAATAAAAATTTATGCGTCCAATAAAAAGTTTGTGCGTCCAATCAAATTTTATAATGAAAGAGATATGAAGGTAACATTTCTTTATTAATGCCATTAAGATGTCTGAGGCTAGTATTAAGGGCTCCCCAAGTAACCTCAACTCCTCGAACATGGATCATAGGATCGGAAGAGGTGCCAAAGTTAACTTTGCGGTTAACCCAATGGTGATTATATTGTTGAAGGTTATTTATACCACCATAAGCAGCATGGAAGAAACCTACATATCAGCAACATGTAAGAAATGACTTTATTAGTTCCTCGAACATACAAAACACCCGGTCGTATTGACGCATTAACATATTCCTTTTATTATACTTAGTGTGAAACAATTTTGACTCAACTTCTACCACGCGACCTAGTCCACCAAGCATTGTGTTAACTTGAACTCTTGTGGCCCATCCCTATTTTCTGAATTTATTTTTTTATTGGACGCATAAATTTTTATTGGACTTATAAAAATTTGATTGGACGCATAAACTTTCATTGGACGCATAAAATTTTCATTGGACGTATAAACTTTGATTGGACGCATAAAAGTTGATTGGACGTATAAAAGTCGATTGGACGTATATTGTGTAATAGCGCCGAAATTTTTACATATTTCCTCATTATAATCCCGCAAGGGGTATGTATTACCCAAAAACACGTCTCTCCCGTTGTATACCCATCCGGGCCTCCCTATAGGACATACGAATATAGATATATCCAAATTTATAATATATTTCTTTTTCAATACTGTTTGGCCAGTGAGGAGCTATTTTTGCATTTTAAGCTACAATAGCTCCCAATTTAAGCTATACTTCATTATAAGAGATTTCATTATAAATTCCTTAAGCCTATACCCATCAAAGTTTCCGCTTAAGTTTTCTCTTGAATCTAAGCGGAAATAAGCCCAAAATGGCCATCCTGTTACCTACAGGGCATTCTACTAGAGGGCATATGGACATTCTATTAGAGAGGTTTTCTCTTGAATCTAAGCGGATATAAACCCTTAAAGGTCATCCTGTTACCTATAGGTATTAGGGGGCATATAGGGCCATTAGGGGGCATATATGCATTCTATTAAGAAGGGGTTTTTGAAGGTTTTTAGTGTCAAAGATTTGCTTGGCCGAGTCTCTAGAAAGTGGAATCAAATTGACTGCACTCGGATTGAAATTTACAAAATGAGGAAAAAAGAAGTTCACTTACAGCATATCCGGCAATAAATAAATGAGGTAAAACTTCACATATAGAAAAAAGGCTGGAAGGTCTGCTTAACTGCGGCGGATGACCTACTAGCTTTCCTGAGGAATTAATTAAATTTGGTAATAATTTTAGAAGCTCACCAGCATTCATTTTAAGGCCAAAATATTTTTTGGGAATTACGGGGATTAATAAAATAAAATTAAAAAAATTTTTTTGTCTTTAAATTTGTTTAACAGAGACAATATGTATTTTTTAGACTGGCAAAAAAAATAGTTTAAAATTTCAAAAAAAGTTCAAGATTAAATCAATCCTTCTCTTTCTTCTTAGGTAAATAAAGACAGCTGACGAGATTAAGAAACAAATAGAAAGGGAACCCAAGTGCTCAGATTTTTTAAAATGTTTTTATGTCAAATTCCTTGTTATCTTTCTCAAGTTTGGAGGAAAATAAAAAAATGGAGAAGAAAATAAATCATAGATCAAAGGCTGTGTTTCAGGTAGAAGCTTGCCAATTGATAAAATCAAGGTGGGAATCAAACCTTTCAGAAAATCTGAAAGTTTTGAGTGTCAAAGCTCTGCTTGGCCCGGTCTTTAGAAGTCCGGGAATCAAATTTTCAATTATTTTAAGGTAGAGCATAGAAATATCTAACTCTTAAAGCATGAAGGAGGCGGTGTGATGCAGTTGATAATCCGGTCAACTGAAGATGGTGGTTCGCTCACAGCCGTCGAATCTTCTTTTACATACTAGTTGATGGAGAAATAGTAGCTATGTATTAGTGTTTCACCGAACCGAAATTTTGGCCGGATCCAAGTTGAGTCCAATTTGAATTCCGGATCCCGGAACCGGGACTTCCGGTGAAACTCCACTATGTATAAGCCAGCTCTGCTTTACTGTAGTGATGTTGAAAACCGATTTTCAAAAATAGAAAGACGGAAGAAAACGGAATAAAAAATGAGGAATGAGTCAAAACCCTAAAAAACCTAACACAATGTACTGTTAACGGTACAGAACAATGAACGTTTTGCCTTACAAAGGAACAAATATAAACATTAAATTTTTTTACAACATTAAAAAAAATTTTTTTTCATAATTTTTTCTTCTTTTTAAAAATAATTTTTAAATATGGCAATCATCAATCAATTTTTATTTTTAAAAATTCAATAAAAAGCATTAAAATAATTTTTTTGCCTATTTTTAAGAATATGAAGGCATTATTTTAAACTACATACTATAACAAAAATTCGGTGGCAACTACCCCCATATACCCCCATATATATTCTCTTATAATTTAACCAATTGTTAATTTATTTACATATCCTGTCTGTTCAAGAAAATCCTTAAAAGTTAAAAATTTTTCAAATGCAAGCACCTCTCCCATCTTTGATGAGAGACGGAGTTTGTTGGAGATCATAAGTCGGAACTTGAAATAAGATCCAAACCTATCGGATTCCAGGCCACCTTGGCTATAATTTTCTGTTAGGTTCTTTGCCCTAAAAAATAAAAATAAAATAAAAATATTAAAATATCTACATACCGTATAACCTGTATTAATTACCCCTCCCTCAAATAATTACCCCACTTCCATTAATTACCCCATTCAGCGATGGATTGAAACAATAATTACCCCCAACCAAATGCCCTAAAACACGTTCAAATTTCAAACCTCGTATAATTACCCTACCTCAATTAATTACACCCTCCAGCGGAAGGTCGAAACAATAATTACCCAGAGTAGTTATTAAAGGATATACGGTAATTAATTTTTTACAATTAAAAGATAATATTTTTAAATTTTTTAAGAAAATGTACATCAAATTAATTTTTAAAATTTTTAGCAGCTAATTTAATAATCAATAGAAAATTTTTAATTTTGACAGAAAAAAAGAAAATTATTTATTTATTATGGCAAAAAAAAAGAAAATTTTTTAAATTAATTTTGGCAATTTATTTTGGCAATTTTTACATATAGTACATAGTACATATAGTATATTCTGGGTGTCTATTCATTATTCATTTACTTTTTTTTTTAAATTTTTTTAATATTTTAAGGAAATGTATTTAAAATTAATTTTTTACATTTTCTTATTTTTTCTAATTTTTATCAACATCTCCAATGGAAAAAAGTGTAAATGTCCTTCAAAACAAACAAAAAATCCTTTGTTTCATCGCCGATTTAAAAGAGGAGGAAAATGTAGTTGTCTTGGAGGAGAGGGGGCTACAGATGATGATAATGAAGGATATACTCGCCGTCCTGGGAAGGAACCTATGAGGGAAGAAATGCAAGTTGAACAAGTTCAAAGAAAAGGAAAAAATGGTATTAAAAATGTCTTGTACATTTGCGACAATTTTTTCTTCTCTCATGTGCAATTTAATGTAAATTTTTTAAAATTTAATAAATTATAGTCCCAGGAAATATAATAGCAAAATAGAGCTTTCCGATACAAGGGTGTTTGATCATTAGAACTCTCCTTGATGCTCTCAGAAGCTTGATAGTAATTGCTCAACCATACACAACCAACCAATCTTTTCATTTTTGTCTTATCTGCTAGACAGGAATAAACTTTACTGGCCTTGGATCCTCAGTCCAAACTAGGTCTTCCTTCACTATGACTCAATTATGAACTCAAAATTCCGTATTTTCCCAAGAATTTTTTTTATTCATTCACTCACCACAGGGGTGAATGAATTCCATAAAAGATATTCTTTTTAACTTGTGGACTTTATTAATATAAAAATCACTTATTTTTAGACACTGTTAGCCAACATTTTGGTAACAAAGTATAATGTGGTTAGTTTATATGTTTTTACTGATTTTTGATTAAAAGAAAAATGCCAAAACTTAATAAGTATTTTAATAAGAATTTTGCATTCTGACTCTAAAAAGGAACTAAATCCATAAAAATTTATTGAATTTGGCCGGCAAAATTAAATTTAGTCTATATTTTATTTTCCATTACAGGATATGCTAGTTTATACAACTAATGGGGGAGAAACGGTAGAATCCGAAAATTTTCGAATCATTCATGTTCCAATAAATGAAGAAAGATTTGAAGAATTTGAAGGGGGTGTTGACGAATATAAAGAAAGTTTTACATATTTTTCTATAGGAATTTATAAAGGTAAAATACAAAAATATTTTCGTTCAAAATCGTTATCTTTGGAAATTTCTTAAAAATCTCCTCTAAAAATTTAAATCTCTAAATTACTTCAAAGACCACTCTTAAGACAAAACGGCAATAAAATAGCCAAAAAATTAATCAAATAGTGGTACTACCAGCTTTGTTTATTTACTCTGACAATAAGACCCCTTACCTGGACCCATTCGTTCCATTCGTACAGAAAAGATAATTGACCTCCCTCCTCTCTAGCGGGAGGGAAGTTTACCCAAATTTGTGGAAATACGATACCGGAGTTGTAGTTGAATATTTACTTTAAAAATTTATTTCACATTTCTAAAGAAATAATTACAAATGAAAATGGCATTCTTGATCAACTTCGACGAGACGAATATAATAATATTGACTATGATATTGGAATTGCCGAATTCAATGTAATGGCAGGCTCTTTCGCTGTTTTTGAAGCATTAAGGATTGGAGAAACAATTGATGTTTCCAATTCTGTATTCCTTCCGGAATATCTTCAATTCCTTGGAATTGATGTTTTGGACTTTGAAGTTCCTGGTGATGATTTATTAAATTTAGTTTAATAAAAGATATTTGCCCGGAGCCGATTTGATCCGGTGCCGTAACCGAATCCAATTTGAATTCCGGTTCCCGGAACCGGAAATTTTCCGGGACCGGAACATTCGGTGAAACTCTAATCTCTATCCATTTATTGTAACGAGATAGCATTCAGAACTTCATTTGAAACATTCACAGATTCATTTGGATCAAAAATTGCTGCATTCCTTAAGCTAGAAATCTCCCATTTTTGCAGGATTTTAGACAAAAAAATATTTTTAGGAACCGGTCACGAACCCGGTTCCTAAGCGGTTCCAAGCATATATCGGTTCCACGGTTCCAGTTCCGGAACTGGAACCCCCGCATCATAGATTATAACTGAATATATCTCTGGTACTCATATTAAACATTTTATTTTTTTGTTAAGAATACAAATCTGCCAAACCTGGAGATTGGCAAAATGGAATTTGGCAAAAAAACAGAGAGGAGAATAGTATGGAACACGAGGGGAGTAACAACCGCATACAATATACCTTCACTGAAACTTCTAAAAAGCTCTACAATAAATTGTTTAACGATTATGGAATATCCACCAAAAAGCCATCAACTTTGGATATTTTATTTGAAAAAATTAAATATCATTTTATAAATCAACATCCTTTAATTAAATTTAGCAATTTCCCCAAGCACAGTAAATTTATTTATATTGGTGGAATTCTTGTTGAAGATCACCAACTTTTAACTGAAGGAAAAAAGAAGGCAGACAATGAGGTTGGAAAGCTATTTTATGCCTATTTTTATAAAATATCTATATTTTAAATATATCTAAACAATATAACTATACCAGTTAAAATAGATTATATAATATCTTTTCGAAAATTATCGAGAATCTTGCGCACCTTTCAAGTTGAAAATCAAAATTAAAAATAATCAAATAAGGTCGAAAATATTTTAAAGGACCTACAGCTGTTTTAGGTCGATTTTACGTTGATTATGGATCTCGATTTTGAGTAAAGCTTTTGAGTAAAGCACGATAGAAATAGCATGTTCTGTCGTTCATAACTTCAGTTTTATATTTATAAAAAATTTCTAAAAAAAGTTTCGGTGCTTCTATAATTTCAAGACACATTTTTAAGTATAACTGTGTTGTTCTTGTCACATTTGGAATGGTTAAATCTGCAATGTTGCCAATCAACAGAATGATCAGTCAAGTATTTTCAAAATTTTCCCATTGTTATTTTTATGTACGAGCAAATAAACGTTCAGAATACGACAATGTACATACTAGTAAAGATCCTCTTGCACAAAAAGAGATTTTATGTAAATAATTATTTGAATATTTCGTTAATTATTTTTATTTTCAGCTAAAATAAATACAAAAGTATTTATTACTCATTGTGGACAGAATAGTGTTAATGAGGTACTATTTTATAAATAGAATATAAGCCCTCCTTTAAAATAAGCCCTCTGTAGAGGTTTAGTGAAAAAATAAGCGCCGGGGCATATTTTAGTGAAATACGGTAGCTTCATTTATCTGATA